ACCAGGGGAGCCAGGATAGCAGTCTTCCAATATCTCAGGGGCTGCCACAAAGAAGAGGGAGTCAAACTATTCCCCAAAGCACCTGAGGGCAGAGGACAAGAAGCAATGGGTGGAAACTAAACAAGGAGAGAAGAATCTTAGAATTAAGGAGAAATTTCCTGACAGTGAGAACAATTAACCAGTGGAATTAACTTGCCTCCAGAAGTTGTGAATGCCCCAACACTGGAAGTCTTTAAGAAGATGTTGGATAGCCATTTGTCTGAAATGGTGTACCTGCCTAGGCAGAGAGGTTGGACTAGAAGACCTCCAAGGTCCCTTCCAGTTCTGTTATTCTATTAATCTGGCCTTACCATCTCGGTGAGGCAGACAATATTCTGAAAAGTCCCGTCCCGTCTCGAGGAAAACGGAAAGAGGCGGTTGACTCGGTAAACTCCTGAGTTGACTTCTGCCTTCCTTGGAAAGAATTCGCTCTGTCTTCCTAGAACCTCAGAGGTCATCCAGACCAACCCACCGACACCACGGCGGTCTTCGAATCTCTAAAGGGGTTGACTCCAGACCAGAAATCATAGGCTAGTCTCTCCCTTATCTCAGTTGGCAGGAGAAGAAAAAGCGAGTTAAAAGGAAGGAGATGTAGATTAGAGATCAGGTGGCATCCTAAGATGTCAGCCAATGGTTTGGGCTGCCCAGGGAATTCTGGGACTTGAAGTCCACACAGCTTAAAAGTTGCCAGGTTGAAACACTGGATTAAACTGTTAGGAAACATTGTTTTTCCTTGCACAGCTGCAGGTGGGGAAAATATTATTTGATTAATTTCCAGGCCTTTGATTAATTTCCAGGCCTTTTTGACTCCTGGCCATAGGCTGAGCAATCTTTCGCTATCAATCTTGTTGGATTTCTGCCCTCCTTCCTCCTTTCCTTTCTCCTTCCTCCTTTCCTCTACTTCCTTCTCTCCTTTCTCCTCCTTCCTTCCCTCTCTCCTTCCTTCCCTCCTTCCTCCTTTCCTCTCCTTCCTCCCTTTTCTCCTACCTCCTTTCCTTCTCTCCTTCCTTCCTTCTCTACTTCCTTCCCTCCTTTCCTCTCCTTCCCTTGCCTGTCTCCTTCCTTGAAGGGAGCAGCAAAGGTGGGGGGGGGACACTTGGCTCTCCCCCCTCCCCATCCAACTTCAGAGAGAGGTGGGGGGAGAAGAGGAAGAGGAGTGGGACCCCCAAAATTGAGGCCTCTTCCCCAAGCAGCCAGACCCCCCCTCTTAAATACCTGCAACAGGTAATTAGGATAGGGGTATGCTTTGGGGGGGACCCTCCCCCCCACTGGTTAACCCCCTCCCGATGACCTCCATCGCCCCCCCCAACTTTGGAAAGAGGTACGGGAAAGACAGCCAGACCCACCGATGCTGAGGCCCCTTCCCCGAGCAGCCAGCGGTACGGTGCAATTTGGGGGGGGGGGTCGAACTGGTTGGTCTCAACTTTGGAAAGAGGTATGGGGAAGAGGAGGGGGGCCAAAACCACTGAAGTTCAAGTGTCCCTCCCCAAGCAGCCAACCCCCTTATCCAAGTGGGGTGAGCTTTGGGGAACCCCACCAAGTGTAAGAGATGAGGAGGAAAAGGACCCACTGAGGTTCAAGTCCCCCTCCCCAAGCCAGCAACCCCCCCCAATCCAAGAATGGCACCCTCTGGGGAATCCCACCAAGTGTTTGCGACCCCCTCCCCAACTTTGGGAAGAGAGGAGGAGGGCCGACCCTGCTGAGGTTCAAGTCCCCCCAAGCAGCCAGCCCCCTTATCCAAGCGGGGTGAGCTTGGGGGAACCCCACCAAGTGTCTGCGACCCCCCCCCCCAATTCCCTACTGTCAACTTCAGAAAGAGATCTGGGGAAGAGGGGGAAGAGGTTCGAGTCCCCCAACCAGCCAGTCCCCTTATCCAAGCGGGGTGAGCTTGGGGGAACCCCACCAAGTGTCTGCGA